GAAAAGAAGAAGGGAAAGAGTTGCTCCCTGTATTTACCGCTGGGTGAAATCGGCCGGTAATCTTCTCGCGATAACGCGAGAAAGAGAGGGCGAGACGGAGAAAAAAAGAACGAGGAGAGGGGGGAAAAATAAAGAAAGAAGAAAAGTCACTGCTATATTTACCATAGCAAAACCCGCGTGAACGCGATATAACGCGATTCCCATTATGAGGCGTGGAAGAAACACCGTGAAGAATGGGAAACCGTACTGTTCAGTAGGTAGGATCCAACGAATGCTCGTTGGATTGAATGAAAGAGTTAGCCTTGGTATTCTTTATCGTGGAGCGGAAATAAGGTTGGCCACGCAAACGATCGTAGTACCGGCCTGTTAAACGCACGCTACGTATAGTATTATACTCCTTGACGAAATGTTTTCAGAGATTCTGTGTCTTTTTATGATCGTCCAACGATCCGTCCTTGTTTTATTACATAAATCCACGGGCAATTAGCGTATATTTCGTATATATATATATTTCTTTGGCTCGTCGATCCGCGAGAATCTTTACGTCGATAATCTTCAATTATCCGTGGAATCGGTAGAATTTATCGGGAACCGGTTTCGATTAAATCATCCAACTGCGATCGCGAGCGGATTCAATTCTGTAACCGTGAATGTTCGTATGTAGGTAATCTTGGAGATATTTAAATTTTATATCTTTGCAAATGGATAATAAAATAATTGTTAATAAAGGCGATAGAATAAAAATTGGATAAATAGAATTTCATTGTTGGACTCGAAGAGAATCCTTTTAATAAGAATTTCGACTTAAGATGTAACAAATCTAGCAATTTACGAGCTCGATTTGCATAAATTATTCACCCCTTACAAATTCAAATAAATGAAATTTTATTATTGTATCGCTGCTGTGTGTAGAATAGATCCGTTTTTATGGAAGGTGTAGGAATTTTTATTGATGACGTTTATTATATATAATTCAAGGAAGATGGTGGTGTTTCAGAGGTGATCTCCGTATGTGAATACAACGTTAGAACATTTTGGAATAAATGTAGCGGGGAAAGTATACGTGTATGCAGATATCTTTCTCACCCTCCGTTAGAGTAGTCGTCCTAGATACGGAGAACAAAGGGTGCTGACTCAGACGTGTACTCCCCCTGCTATCCATAGAGCGTAAACATCTTGCAAATTCGAATATTCTGAATATTCTATCTGCAATCTTGGAGAATGATATTAGAATCGAGTAGAATGTTTCATGAAAATTTTTAGATTTTATTATCTCAGAGGAAGACAAGGAATAAAACAAATCGATAACAGAAGAGTTCAATCGTAATTTAAAAAAATTAGAATTCTGATTTTTTTAAGATTCTTTAAAACTCGAATTAAATTTGATTGGAATTTTTCCAAAAGTACATTAACTACGATGATAATAAATGATCCACGATATTTCTTTCCATTGATCCATTCCCAAGAAAAATAAACTTATCCCTTGATCCCTTATCGTTTGGAGAAACATCGTAAACCGTACTCATCTATTTTTCCAGCATGAAGAACACATTCCTTTCGATATTCCTGAACGATTCGTCATCGAATAAACATCGATCCGTCCGCACTTCAGAGGCGTCGACGAAATTAACCCTCGCGGTTCATCCCTTAAGCTCGGTTTCCAGTAACTCGATGCCTCTGGCGGTCGTGGAGGAAGTCGGCAGGGGATGGAGTCGGCAATTTAATCAGCCGATTACTCGAACAGCGTCACGAGACCGGTCGAAAAACATCCCCAATCAGTCTTCCTGCAACCCTTTTCAATGTCCCTTCCCTTCGAAACCTTTGAAATTTTTTATCCGTCGCTTGTTGACGAGGGTCAAGCCCCTAATTCACACCTATTCTCTTCTCTAAAGAGCGCACACAAAGAGTAAACATTATTAATACTGCAATAATGCTCTCGGATCAAACAACTTTCTTCCCTTAAAAAAAACATATTTCACCTTATTTAGATAGAAATCTGTATAATTACAACCTGTAATATAATTGTACAAACTATCATTATTTCATCCATCCAATTTTTACTTTTAATGAAAAATCAAATGAATACGTTCGATGGAGAGAGAGAGAAAAAAAAATTGAACGCGACCGTGAAAGGGTTAAATTATCCGGCACGCGAACTAATGTTATTTTTCTTATTTAATCATCAAGTTCACGCACCGTAAAGTTTTTCACTTCGATGTGTGCTGCGCACAGTTCGCGAAATGACAGTGTTTTTCCCTCTATACTCGCGTGCCACGTCGAGCAACACGCGAATAACACGTGATAACTATCAACGGTGTAAAATCGCGATGAACACGGTGAAGAACTCTACGAAGAACTTTCGAGCTTTGTCGCTTTTTAATTTTACGTAGAATCGATGAAAGAATTTCGAGAAAATGGGACACTTGATGCGGCCAACAACTTTTACATTCGATCGATGTAAGTGCAGAAATAATCGCAAAATTATTTTTACGATGAATAGTGGAGAGCGTGAAACGGGAAATAGAGGATTTGATTTGGGTTTGAAAAGTGTTTATGATAGTTGGATAGTTGTATAAGTAGTATCGATGTAAATATGAGTAAACGTTCGGCAAATTTTTTAGGTTAGATTTCACGAAAGTTTCGGTCGAATATAACGCGCTTTGAATTCATCCTTGATGCGACATCATAAATACATTTTTAATGTGAATTCTTTTTAAGCTTATGCATCGGTATGTACATGTCCTTTTTTTTTTTTTATCTTTAAAATATGTATAAAAGAGAAGCCTTCATTTTCCACTCTGTTTCTTGGAATTTAATTAGTTCAATGTCGGTGAATACGTATTACGCCAAAAGTGTTTCCTATCTTATTACTCCTTGTTACTCCATTAACCCCTTATCACCCTTTTCTCGTGTACTAGATTACCGCGTATCTACTACCAGTGTCTACTCATACATCTAATCATATCTGCACTTATTTGCATCTAGTTACTTTTTTCGTTCTTTCTCCAGTTACCTCTTCTCGTTCATCTTCTCGCATTCAATCTTCATCTAACCATCTCTTTTTCCCGCTCCCCATCCGCTCCCGTCTCGATCTCACATCTATCCGCATTTGTCTTCGCTTCTTCCACTTAATTCTCCATTTAATCGCGCCTAATTACCTCTCTCTATCTCGCTCATCCTATCGATATCTACTCTCGCGTTCATCCAGCGTCATCCCCTCTTCCTCCTCTTTCTCTCTCCGCGTTTCACTCGCTCCTACTCGCTTCAACCAACGCATCCACCAACGCATCCGCCTCTGGCGGCGTCGAAAGGCATCCCTAACGATCGGCGCAGCCCTTGACGCCGCGTTCTCCACTCTCTCTCTCTCTCTCTCTCTCTATCCGTCCCTTTCTCTCCCCCA